ACAGTTATGCTGCTGGTTCTGTTTTAATTAAGACTAAAATTCCCAGATTTTATCTTAAACAAGGATCATCCACTCCCACCAATCTAATGGGGAGAGTCAAGACAATATGGGAGCCATGTGTGTTCCGAGCAAGACCCTCTGGCCCACTTTAAAAGGTTGCAAATGGGTATATTTGATTCTTCACAGAAAGAGACTGGAGCCAAGAGTGTTGCCATGGCAACAACATAGTAGGTGTCATTCTGTTTCTTTTGTGATGCACATCGTCGCTGCCAAATTTGAAAAACACTGCTTTAATATTTCTAGAGTTATTCTCGATTGAGTGTTGTGCTGTTTTAGAGGAACCACCTATGACGTCATCGCTTTCATCATTTGCATAAAACAAAAACGTGAATATCTCTAAAACGAAAAAAGATATTCCAAAAAGGGAAACGCCATTCTTCTTTACTTTGAAAAGCCTTTCACATAAGCAGGAATTATTTTTTACTTCATAGGCACTTGAAGTCATAAAGTGTAAATCTGTAGGAAGGCAGATATTACTTCCTTCAGTTGTATACAAACGTAGATTATTACGCTTAATAAACATGAACATCAAACCTGTTGGCCCGACTTATAGTTTCTCTTTCCCGTTAGAGATGATATCTAATATGTAGTCACAGATTGTACGTACTAGTCTGGAATAAGTCTTATGTACGATATTATATCGACTGGCGACCACCTGCTTTATGTTTTTCTATCACATAATATCTCACCACAATGCACTGACGTAGTGACGTTCCCTGCATAAAAAGCGATTCAGTTGGGCCGACCATTACACGAGCGCTGGATCAACGTTAGATTAAAAGTTGAGGACTAGAACTTTATCGCCCTCTGTCTTACAAAAAACCGTCCAGAACGTCGTTATCAATCTGTTTATATAATAAACAAAATAACACATGGTTGCTTGTAGATACCTAATTTCTCTTCTCGTGTTCAACTTTATATCTGACTCGTTTGCTGAGCTCACTCGTAAGATATCGAGTGGGACACTCGAGGAGATATTCCACATCTACGTGCGCCCATGTATTATCCTCTATTTACATGCACGATGATATGGATAATAAAACAAGGACACAGCTGACAATAGTAAAGTACATTGTACGAAATAAAGCGAGCGAGACTGATTTTTCAGCTATTTACTGTTTTGTTGCACTTGAGTTCAGTCAGAAGGCAAGTCATCAAAGTCCTCTGACTCGGCTAAACTTGGTACACTTTCGGATCTTTCAGTGAGACCCGGGCCATCGTATTCAGCTTGAAGGAACCCCTTGTCAGCAGGGGCGTTATTTCGAGGCACGTATTTAACACCCGCTAATTTGGGGCTTTTCCTCGTGCAGACTCCATTTTCAAGATCGCATTCATAGTCGTCAAATGTAGAAGTCATAACCTCGTTGTTTTCTTTTTCCTCTGAATGCAGCTGATTGTTCTTGATATTGAAATCGCTAGTTCTCTCAGGCTTCACGTCCTTCTCATCAAGCGGGGAAGTGTCCATATCTTTACTTTTCTGAATGTAACACCAAAATTTATTCTCTAAACACATGTCCTCCGCCATCTTAAGAACTCTGGGGGACTTAGGCGGTCTTATCGGTATAACCTCCAGGATATTTTCGTACTGCAGGTCTTTTCCGCTGCTATGTCCAAATCCTCCTTTTAGACTTTGGGCCTTTTCCAGAAAGTTTGATGGCGCCCAACCCACAGAGTGACTTGAGGTTCGCACTAGCCACCAGCCCCCTTCGGATTCCTCGAGAAGTTCAACCTCAACATTTTCTCGTAAATTGACTTCTTTATCTTCCTCTTTTTTGTACGAACCGGTGGCGTAAAACCTTTTATTGCTTACCAGTTCTGGCATGTTTTCTGTGTACTCTTTGCCCTCGTCTTTGTCTTCATCATCTCCTTCATTATTGTTTTGGTCTTTGTCTTCGCTGTTCTCTTCATCTTCCATCTCTAGCCCTTCGTTTGTGTGAGAATTGTCAACAACATCTTCAAAGTCGGGTGTGTGCGTAGTTTCAGCATCTTCAATCGGAAGTCCGCTGACGTTCTTGCTTACTTCTTCATCCAGAGATTCAGACGGTTGGACACCATCAGGTTTGTCGAAAGCATCATCTGGACTTTTTGAGCTGCTGGAATCCCGACTCAGCAGCGGGCTTTGCATAGGACTCGTCCCGCGGGATACAGTTTCCTGGCTCTCCTCTTCTACAAATGACAACGCTCTAGGTTGGAAGCCGAGTCCAACACCGAGCAGCCCGCCGTTTTCATTTTTTTCGTTTTCTTTAATGCTGTTCGAGACTTTCCCAAATCTGCAACCTGCTCTTACTTCATTAGGATCCAGTTTTTGGCGAGGAGTCCGCCGTCCTGCAGGCCGTTTGGTGATTTCATGAAATTCCAAGTTTACGTACGATCTTGCGGGCTTGGTGTTAAAACTGTTTTCTCTTGCTTCATTAGGATCCAGTTTTTGGCGAGGAGTCTGCCGTCCTGCAGGCCGTTTGGTGATTTCATGAAATTCCAAGTTTACGTACGATCTTGCGGGCTTGGTGTTAAAACTGTTTTCTCTTGCTGTAGAACTTGGTTCTCCCTGGTTTGCTCCATGTCTAGAAATATTCCTCTTCTAAAAATGATAAAAAATTATAATTTTTAGAAGGCAAACTTCGTGAAATTCTTTGCCACTACTCGATCAAAGGTATAAAGGGGGGAATAAGAGAAAAGACTCACCACACTCATTTTCCTTGCGGAGGGATCCCACGTTTGTCTTCTTCCTGGAAACAGAAAGCGGGAAAAGTCAACATTAAACTGCACGAACGATTTACACTGGAAATTACCGCCAATTAAACAGCACCTATTTGATTCATGTTTTCTGTTTAGAAACTTTTCAATATGGAGTTTTTTTCGGTGGGGGGAGTGATTTTGATTGAAACAGGAGGGATTGAAGAAGGAGGGGTAAACGGACAGATAGACGGATCGTTGAATGTTGTAAAGGTGCAATCACAATTAATATAATTTCCCAATGAGCATGCACTTCATCCGAACAGAAAAAATAGAGACGCACGGCCCACGGCAATCTATTTAAATTTATTCACGAATGTAAATTGTTTTATTTTCTCACCTGCAATGACCGATATACTATTTAATCGTGTGTCTCTAAGCATCGCTCTGACTGCAGCGTGTTTCCCTTTCTCTCTCGCGTTGTGTTGAGATGAGGCTATTTCTCTCAGAAACATGGCTGGTGTCCATCCTTCCTTTTCCTCCAACCTACAGCGAGGAACAGTGCCCGATTATATAAAGTACTTTTCCGAGATGCCACTTAATTCCCTGGGAATCAATCCCTTGTGTGTGTTGAGTTCACATTATAAACTGGGAGTCTAAAAGCTGCCCAAAGGCAACAGAAGATCAAATAGTAATTTCTAAAAAAACGAGATGAAGCATAAACTTAAGACTTACTTGACAAACCACCATCCGTCCAGATTTTTCTGAATGACTTTAATAATCTTCCCCATCTCAAACCCAACCTCGTCTTCCAGTTGAGGCTCGTAGGTTGCCATGGTAATGTAAGTTTCCTCTGTTAAATAAAGACACTTGTTTGCAATTGGAACTTTCTGTTATAATCAAGTAAGTTCGAAATCACTTATGATTTTCTTGATCAAGCACATGGTAACAAGAATTTTGCATCTTGATCAATGCCCGGGGGTTATTCTACAAAGTTTTATACGGGGAGGCTTCGCCCCGCGGTCCAGCCCCGGCCTTGCCCTTTTGTACACCATTTTGACAGAAAAGGTAAACCTTTCGTATACATTTAATTGAAAAAGGTAACCTTTTCACATACTTTCATAACTGGCCCGAATAATTAAGGATTAATTGCCAAAAGAGGAAGTCTCCTTGTCATGAACTGATACAGCTATAAGGTGCGTCTGTTCAAAAATATTTTCATGAAAGGCCCTTTCAAATAAATAAATGACGGATTTCCCTACCCTATCATATACCCCAACTTGTCAGATCAATTACCTACACTTTTACACACCTAAAGCCCGAAAAAGGTAGGTATCGCATAGATATACGTTTAGACTGATCCCACTCACTAATTGACAAGAGATAGTAGTCTCCAAACATATGAACTTTTCAACAGAGCTCAACAGTGCTGTGAGCACTCGAA